ATAATTGACTTTGTACTTAAATAACACTTCAGATATAAACTCTAAATCTCAGTAATGAAAAAAGCCCCACACATTCCTTATCACTTAGGAAGCTGTTTAGATTTTTAATTACAACAAAATATATGTTGGCTTCTGCCTTTTAGCTGTATATTAGATGACATTTGCATTTGTGTGCCCAAGGTGAAGAACAGAGGGTTGTACTGTAAAAGCCGTATCTGTGAATCTATATCTAGAAAACATGTATAAGAATTTTCTGTTTTCTGTTAAATGTCTTCCAGTTTCCACTAGCACCCAGTGCTTATGCAGAAGCATGATTTAAATCCCATACTAGTAAATGTAGCAATAGGCAGAGATTATTTCTGTAGATTGTATCACTTACCATATTACTATGCAAACCTCTTCAAAACTACCTAAGCTTCTAAACTAGCAAAGTTTCTTTGATCCATGTGTCTGTATTATGGAGGCAGAAACTGATCTTTTATTTCTATGTGCATATATTTGCACACTTGGCTGTCATTCGTTGTTTTGCAGATTGGTAGCATACTAGCAGTGCAAGGCATGCATAAAACTGGGGATAAAATAAAGATGGTTATACAGTGTCCTGCACAGCAGTGACTCAGTCTGCTATAAGAATATTAAGTGGAGCTGTAGGCAGAAACATTGCAGTGAAAGCAAAAAGTTTTATTTTAGTTTTTAGTTTCCCTGAGTGATTTATCAAACATACAAACCCCAACAATACGGTGGGGGAAAAAAAAAGGTTATTATTTTGAACTTAGAATACAGCTTTCAATGACAAGAATAGAGCTAATAATAAATACCTCTTGCAGATGAATATTAAAATCCTAGCTGGAAGAAATAAGGTTTCTTTGCTACATTAAGCAATCTAATACTTTTTTTTTTTTTAAATTCTATTATTTACTACTGAAGGGGCTAATATCATTAACTGATACTTCAGCTTTAAAGCAACAGTATACAATAGGAGGATGGTATCTGTCTCAGAACACATTAGTGTGAGGTGAAGAAAATACTACAAGATATTCTTTGACCTCAGGGGATGCAGATAACTTCCATGACTCATTTTATATCAGCACATATTAAGTTTCAAATCCATAGATACACTCCCCCAGGTATTAAAGCATTTATATGTTTGCCATAAAGCATAAATTCCATGAGAAATAATACATATGAGTCTAAATATACATAAAACTAGCCTCTATCCTTCTCTGGACTTGAACCTTAAAGACTATGGGGTGAAGCAGCAGAAAAAACTGAATAAACTGATAAATGGATACATATATAGATAAAAGCAATTACTCACAAATCCAAAGAATTTCTGTAGTAGCCCACATCTTAAATAGCTGGCAGATTTAAGAATAATAATTAAAATTAGTAGAATGAAATAGCATAGACTATTTAAGTTGGAAGGGACCTACAGTAATCATCTAGTCCAACTGCCAGATCAGTTTCAGGGCTGACAAAAAGTTAAAGCATGTTGTTAAAGACATTGTCCAAATGCTTCTGACCGCCTCTCCAGGAAGCCTGTTCCAGTGTTTGACCACCATCCAGTAAAGAAGTGCTTCCTAATGTCCAGTCAAAACCTCGTGTGGTGCAGCTTTGAACCATTCCCATGCATCCTAGCACTTGGTACCAGGGAGAAGAGCTCAGCATCTCCCTCTCCGCTTCCCCTCCTCAGGAAGCTGTAGAGAGCAGTGAGGTCTCCCCTCAGCCTCCTTTTCTCCAAAGTAGACAAACCCAAAGTCCTTAGCCACTCCTGATAGGACATTTCTTTCAGCCCTTTGACCAGCTTTATTACCCTCCTCTGGATAAATTCAAGGACCTTAACATTCTTCTTAAATTGTCGGGCCCAGAACTGCACACAGTATTCAAGGTAGGGCCTCACCTATGCTGAACACAACAGGATAATCACCTCTTTTGACTGGCTGATTATGCTATATTTGATGCACCCCAGGATGTTGTTTGTCCTGTTGGCTGCCAGGGGACTCATACTGAGCCTTCTGTTAACCAACACCCCAGATGCCTTTCTGTGAGGCTGCTCTCCAGCCACTTCTCTCCCAGCTTATACTTGTGCCCAGCATTACTTTGTTGTAGGTGCAGAATCCAGCATTTCAACTTGTTAAGTTTCATCCCATTAATTATAACCCAATGCTGTAATCTGTCTAGATCCCTTTGTAAGGTCTCCTGTTCCTCAAAAGAATCAACAGTACCTCCCAGTTTGGTATCATCAGCAAACTTGCTAATGATGCATTCAACTCCTGCATGCAGTTTGATAAAAATATTGAACAGAACTGGCCCTAAAATAGAGCCCTGAGGAACAGCATTAGTGACTGGTTGCAAGCCAGATGTAGCCCCATTCACTGCAACACTTTGAGCTGTGCCCTTCAGCCAGCTCTTCCCCTAGTGCACACTAAACCTGCTCATTCCATAGTTGGACAACTAGTCCAGAAGGATGCTGTGAGAGACAGTATCACACGCCTTACTAAAATCCAGAAAAATTACATCCTCCACCTTCCCTTTATCCACTAGGCAGGCAACGTCATAGAAGGATATCAAAATAGGTAAGCAAGACTTTCCCTTTCTGAACATGTTGACTGTGCTTGATGATTGCATTATTCTTTAAATGCCTTCCAATAGTACCCAGTATGATCTCCATAATCTTTCCATGAACTGAGGTTATAGGACAGGTCTATAGTTCCCTCACACCCTTTTTGTACATTGGAATAACATGAGCTAGCTTCCAGTTAACAGGGACCTCTCCAGACTTCTGAGACCTTTGGTAGATAGAGACGGGTCCTGCCATAACATCTTCCAGCCCCTTTGGAACTCTTGAGATGAATCCCCTCAGGCCCCATGGACTTGTGAGCATTCAGCTGAATCCACTGGTCCCTTACAGTTTCAGTGTCCACAAGTGGAAAGTCACTGTTCCCACACTCATGGTCCTCCAACTCAGGGGCCAGGCAGCCCAAGGTCTTTCAGTATTATTAAAGACTAAAGCAAAAAAAGCATTGAATGCCTCTGTGTTTTCTTCATCCCTATTAGTCAGGTGACCATCTTCAACAAGTATCAGTCCAATGTTTTCTTTAGACCTCCTCTTGCTATTAACATACTTTAAAAAGCCCTTCTTGTTATCTGAAACAACTCTGGCCAGTTTCAGTGGACTTTGTGTCTCTTATCCCTGTATAAGTGAACAACAGCTCTGTGCCCTTCCTGTGAAGCCTGACCTTGCTTCCAGAGTTCATACAGTTTCTTTTCCTCCTGAGCTCCATGAAGAGTTCCCTGTTCAGCCAAGCTGGTCTTCTGCCCTGCTTGCATGACTTACAACACAGTGGAATTGCCTGCTCCTGTGCTTCTGAAATGTCTTTCTTAAAAACTGACTAGCAATGGTGAACTCCTAAGACCTCAAAAGCAGATTGACAGGGTACTCTGCTAAATATCTCCCTGAATCTCTTAAACTTGTCTCTCTTGAATTCCAGGATAGCAACTCTCTAGTCCTTTTTTCTGTTACACTGAAAATTTTAAACTCAATGATTTCCTGATCACTGTGGTCAAGACAGCCACCTACCTTCATATCTCCAACATGTCCTTCTCTGTTCACAGACAGCAAGTCTAGGAGGGCATCTTTCCAAAGGTGGCTCACCAGATACCTGTGACAAGAAGTTATTTCCTACAAACATCAATAATTTCCAAGACCTACAGTATGATATTCCCAGTTGATTTCCAGGAAGTTGAAATCTCCCATAAGGACAAGGGCTACCATTCCATAGATTTCTTCTAATTGCCTATAATTTATCAGTGCTTACATCCTGGCTGGGCAATCAGTAGTAGACACCCACTACAACATCTCCTTTGTTTTCTATCCTGCTAATCCTTAGCCAGAGGCTCTCTCCCTTACGTACAGTGCAACACCTCCACCTCACCTGCCCTGCCTGTCCCTCCTGAACAGCCTGTAAACCTCCATCCCAGCACTCCAATCATGGAACTCATTCCACCAAGTCTCATTCATAGCTCTGGAAGCTGACCAATGCTTCCAGTTCATCCTGTTTATTTCTCAATCTGCATCCATTGGTGTACAAGCATTTCAGATACACTCCTGAGCCCTCCATGCTCCCAGAAGCAGTGTAAATGTTCCCACTAGCATTGCCACCCTCAGGCGATGCCATGCCAACCCTTGGCTTACTACTGCCATCCTGATGGTATCCTCTTCCCCCATCGATTCTAGTTTAAAGCTCTTGAGTATTCTAGTTTAAAACATCTTGAGTATGAAAATCATTTAAATGCAGTTTAATACAGAAAATTTAGGATATTTATAATAAGTATACTTTCAAACTTTCAAAAGGAGGGCAAAGGCTTAGAAAAGGCATCTGTTAAAGAAATCATTGTTGTTTTTCAGCTGAGAATATTTGATTTTTAAGAATAATGAATCAAAATAAGTGCTTCTGTTATTGCTTTATTCTAGCAGATGAAAATATTTTACATATCTGTACTGTGAAGCTAGAAGAAGGTGCTAAAGTGAAGGGAATATATTGCATCCAAGAAAAGATTCTGGACTGTTTAGTTGCCCACACAGGGGTGTCACATGTCATCTGAGATTCTGTGAAGTCCCTTGCCTGCCTTTTAGGTACTGTTGCATAACAGCACGGTCTCCCATTGTTCTCATGTAGTATTCCTGACCTAAACTCACTGTGATTTTATAGCTCTTGGAGACAGGATTCCTTTTGTTTCTGATCATCTGGGATATGATCTTTTTGCTCTAAGGAAACTACAGCTGCATTTTATTACCTGCCTATAACTCAAGTCCAGATACCTGCTTTGTATGTTCCATGATTTATCAGAGCTACCTTGGTCTGCTTCATCAGCAGTATATAATGTGTCTTCATTAATGTTTGTAGTCTATAATAAGTGATATTATGTATCTCATGTTTTCCACAATTGTTTCTCCCCATGCCCTCTGTGATATTCTACATTTTGTATCTTTCTTTTAGGTTGGTTGTTACTTGAAGACCCCTAAATACCCAATTTGGTTGGTATGCAGTGAAAGCCACTTCAGTGTGCTTTTTTGTTTGGAAAAGGATTTGCTAGGTGACTGGAAAACAGAGCGGAAATTTGATCTATATTATTACGATGGCTTGGCCAACCAGGAGGAAGAAATACGGTTAACAGTTGGTATGTACAGCTCAGTAATTCTGCATTCCTTCTCTAGTGGTTGCAACAGCATCACATCAGGAAGAAGAATCTAATAATACAAACAATCAGCCATTAAAGATTATTTGTGTGCCTGTTTCCTAATTTCCATAATTAGTTTTGGTGATTAATTGGAAATTTGATTTCACAATGAAATTTTGAGCATAAGTTCTTGAAAGGGTTAAAAGTAATCATGTGCTATATACAGACTGGTAAATCTTTCAGTGACACTGATTTCCAAGGAACAGATTGTGATCTGGCCTATTCAAACTCCTAGGACTGTAAACTATATTTAACTACTCCCATTCTCCTTCACGTCTTCTCACATAGTTTCCACAGGCAGAAAATGCAAGCCTCCTGTTCCTCAACCCTACATACCTATCATAAAATGAGCAGAGAGGGTGAGGAAGCATGAAATTCTTACTTCCAAAATCAGTTGCTTCAGAAGATGGCAGTAATCTGCCAACAAAGTCTAGTCTCTTACCTGCTGATAAGCATACCTGGAAACACAAGCATGACTTGTTACACTCATTCTTTCAGGAAACCATGCCAAATTATGCAGCTGCTTTTACAGTAATTGTGTATTTCTCCAAGTAGAAGGCATTTGGACAAGCAGTATTCTTATGCTTAGAAAGCTCTTACTTATTGCCATTTTAAGACATTCTTAACCACTAGATTGCTATTTGCTAATAATATCCTACTTATCTTTTGTGTTCTTTCCTTCAATATATTTATACAATCTAATCAAATTCCTTCTTAATCTTAAGGAGCCACTCTGTTGTAGTCCATGCTTTAAAAATAAGTGGTCTGTATTCCTTGTTTTCATCTACATTCTGGTTCTTGGACAGGATGAGTTATACATGGCTGTTGTATGTTCTAATTGAGACCATGTGACAAAGCTGTTCGTATGGTGGGAGTGCTGGGGGCTTTAGCTGGTGGTGGTGAATTCAATCATCTTTCTGCCTGTTATTTATCCTCTTATTTTAGTTAAAATCCCTGTCATGCTATTATAGTGATCACATATATTATCTCAAAAAAATGCTTAACCTTTACAGGACTATAGTTGCCAACTGGTTCCCACATGGTCTGCCCTAGATAAAAGTTTCTTTGTAAGTGACACAGATAATACAGTTCAGCCCAGGACTAGAGAGATCGAGACACATTTTTTCTATTGTGTTGTACCATGTAGCATATGGTCCAAAACAAGGTGTCCTGGTCTGTCTTTTCATCATTAATAAATCAGGAATATTTCCAAAATCCAGAGTTACCAAGAAGTCTAAGATCCCTGGATGAGAACGTGCTCAGACTATGTATAATTTTTTCTCTTTACTGTTCAGACTGTTATGGCATATCAGTATATTTCTCCTCAAAGACTAAACTTGCATTGAGAGGTAGGTATCCTTTTGTTGTGGCTACATCCTCTTTTAGGGATATGTCCTAGTAAATCTTCTGTTATCTGTGAAATTCTGTAAAAGGCTGTAAAATGAAAATAATTTCATCATTCCAGGAAAACTCTTTCCTAGTTCTGGCTGTACAGTAATCCTTTATTAGGTCTGGAGAAAAACTGGAATTACATCCAAAAGGTAACATTGGTCATACAACTACATGCATGTAGTACCAGATGGAGATATCAGAATGTTAAGTATTACTGATACTTCTTTGGAAATATCAACAAGCTGTGATGGTTAGGTAGTGTTACCTAGAGATATATCATGAGGTCCTGGGTGCCGCACATCTACATCTCACTGGTGCTGGTTAGCAAAGTTGTTGGCTTTTCACTAACAAGAAGATAAATTCATTGAAATGGAAATCTTGTTTATAATTAAGAAAATTATAATCAAGTTCATATTTTGGGAAAGTTTGAAAAAATTACACTGGGCAGGAAAGGCAAAAAAGTCAGAAATAAAAAGTAGAATTACATTTTGGGGGTAATAGCAATTGCCACTTTATATTGAAACTTTGGCCTGCTTCTCATACTCATAGCCATTTGCCAAAATGTAGACAAGAAGTAGGAAGTTCCCTCCTAAAAAGAGGCAATGCCTACTAGTGAATTCAACATACTATCCTAAATAGATGAAAGTTCTTCTATTAAGTAAAATTTCTGATAGGCAGAGAAGGAAAACAAGCCAGTGTATCTAGATTAATAACCCCCTGCATTATGCTCATCTTCTTTTGTCAGCTCTTTAGAGACTGAGTGGAGATCCTGGGATTTTTGTTATAAGTCACAGGCACTTGTATGAAAGAGTGTGTTTACTGCTCCCAGAGATACTGCTCCTTCTTTCTAATATGCAGTTAACACTACCTACGTTAACATTTTCAATATGCTGTCTGCAAGTGAAGATATAAGGAATTTTTGTACAATAAGTTTTAATAAATCATTCTTATATCTCGTTGGTACATGCCTTCAACTTAGTATCATTTTCAAGGTCTTTTCGAAAAGCAGCTAAATAACTTCTAAGAAGAATATAACTGAATTTCTTAGAAGATTCTTCGAGAGTCATAGACCACCCTCAGTCCCTTTGCAGATCCCACGGAAGGTAGCACAAGCAGTGAAATTAACAGATGTTCAGATACTGGAGGCAGCTTCTAGGGAAGGCTGGTATATTATTGATTATGACACTTTCTTTCAGAACAGTTTTTTCTCACAGTGAAGATGAGATTATTCCAATGTGCAAAAGTCTTGTGGAAAGGCAATCATTAAAACATCACTTCCTAAGGTTTCCATGTAAATTATGAGCAGTATTTTTTCTTTCAGTGATTGTTTGGATTCCACTCTTTTGAATCTGTGCTCATCACAGCTTCTGAATTGCGTTTGTCTGTAACTGTGCTGGCACTCAGTTTCTCATTACCCTTAGCTTAGAATATAAGTGAAGCTCTAAGAGATCATATTCATCCCCTTCTTGCTGTTGATGACTCCAAGACAGATGAGTGTAACTTCACCATTCCTTGCTCCACATGAGCTGTACGAAACACAGTTAATTAACTTAGCTAAATGTTCATTGCCTACTCCTGGAAGATATATCTTTAGTCATAATTTTTTTATATTCCTTTGTATGAAAAAATTCTATTCAGACCTTGTGATTGGAAGATCTCAAGTCTAAAAATGACAAAATTCAACAAATTGGAAATGACTGGGCAAGGCAGCCATGCCATTCCTGCTAGCAATACTATGGTCAAGACAGTGGCTCTTCCTTTTCACTTTGAGAAGATCCAGAACATCAGTATCAGGAATTCTTACAGAGATCCAAAATACTATTGGAGACCTCTAAGGAACTGTTATAAACTCCTCAATATTAGGATAAAAGAGGGTCTTTGAAACTTAAAAGATTCCCATGTACCTCTAAGGTACAGAGGATCTAGAAAACTGACAGTACTTTATGAACTTTTAAATATTGTCCATTTCCTACTAATACAGCCCTTACAGTCTTTCAAAGTTTTCTGTATGTATTTATACTGACAAGATCAATAAGCAAGGGAAGGAATGACATGAGGAAGCCAGAGATATCTGAGACTGGCAGCTGTGAATGTAAGAGCAACTGCTACCCATCCTGTCTACATCAGTCTCACTGAAGCAGACCCATATACTATACCCTGCCTTGGCATTGTTTGTTGCTTGCAACCTACCTGTTGACTAGATGACAGACAGAAAAGAAGAAAAAGAAAAAAAACCCTAGTCTGCTGAAGTTTAAAATGTTTTACTCCAAAACAGGAAACAGCTGAGCAGACTGACATACAAGCTGGTTGCAGGATGTTTTCTCCCTGGGAAGTTCAGAGACTACTTTCACTGTTGACAGATCCAGTGTCTGAGACACTGACCTCTCTGTTTTCCCCGGAACAATGCAATTGCATCTCCGTCCCAAAGGAATGCTCACAGCCTGTGGTAGCTCTCTTATATCCAACAAAACATCATTTTCTCCTATCTGTGCATGGTTTTCTCAACAGTCAAGGGACAATCTTTTTTTCAAGGGTGAAAAAATCTTAATGAACTTTGGACTGGACTTGGGGTTTCCTATTCAAGTGTAGGACTACTGCTGCCCTTAGTATTTGAGTAAAAATTGCTTTCTTAGTAATTATGACATCAATTGTAAAATAAAAGCTTCATGACAGCCCTCCAGCGTATTCTTTCACCTTCAAATCTATGTTTTTCCTTGAAATCATCTCAATGTTAGTAAACTAACCTGTTTCAGGGGATGAGTCTGAACAGTGTCCTACTTTCTTCCTTACTGTTAAGTAGTCAACATGATTCTGGGCAAGTTTCTGGCTCAGAACAACTAATACTGGGCACAATCTGGGACTCATTCCCAACAGCGTTTACATTGTCACCTCCTTTCAGCCTTTAGCTTGCCATCACATGAACAGGCAGTAGACCACTAGCTGAAAAGTTTCAAGAGATGACAAAGTAATGAGTGCCAGACTGTCCACTCTAAGTCAGCTATAAAGCCCATGCTGTTTGCAAAGAGCCATAGTCGTGGTATCTACTCTGAGTGTTCCTGGCCCTGTCTGTGGCCTCTCTGTTCAGATGGTGTGAACGAGGGCATGAGATAGTATTCAAGTGTCAGCAGTGCTCCCCTTCCAGGGTATTTCAATCCAGAGTGAATACATGCCTATTGTGGGCTAGGATGTTTACACTGTGAGTGGTAGTCCGTCACTTCCATAGGTGGAGTTTCTAGAAGTTACTGTGGAATTCTGTATGAACAGAAATGTACTCCAGCCACTAATAATGTCTGATATGTCTCTGCAGACACAACTCAGATGTGTGCTGAAGATAAAGAAAATGATCTTACTCCTCCACTTGAGCACTGTATTAGGACAAAGTAAGTGAAATTACAGTTTTTCATCCAGATACAATCAGTTACTGATACAAATATGTCGAATATGTTGCAGCAAGGAATCTTGCAAAATTACTGCTTAAAAATCAGAAAGGATCTGAATAGGCCAGGATCTAATATGTATTATACATTTAATTGTCTGCTATTGGAGTTAACATCGAACTAGCTAACACGTTCACTTCATTTTTAGAGAAACCTTCATTACATCACGAAGAACTGACTGAGACAAATTCTGTTTGAAAGCAGAACTTGATTTAAATAGATCTAAATTTAGATTCCCAAAAGTGATTGATTCCTATTGTAGAGGCATAATGAGAAAAGGAGAAAATTTCTTCCATCTAGACTGGGGGACCAGGGTACCATTCTTGATGCATGAAGCCCTGTGCTTAATGGTCTCAGGTTTTTCAAACTTTCCATGTGTCTATGGACAGCACAGAGTTTCTCAAGATCACAAAACACCATGTTTTGTCCTTGGCAGTTCTTAAGTCATGCTCTCTCCTTTAATACAAGGCTAGTTCCTGTCATGTTATGAATTTCCAGGCCATTTTGAGGTCTATATGGTATTAAAGGATGGACTTTTAAGCAATTTATGCAAGTCATACTGAAGTTAATGAGAACATTTTCAGTTTAGTGAGACATGAAAGAAGCAAAATGGAAAAATTTAACTGGGTAGGAAAGTCAGCTTTATAACAATTCTATCAACATGACTTTGAAAGCTGCTATCTGAGTATCTTTGGAGCAAGAAGTAAAAGCCTTATTGTCAAAGACCATAACATTTGTTAAAGCAGCAAGCCAAGCAGCTTCAGATTTCTCTTGCAATTTCCCTCCTTTCCTTGCCATAATTTGTCCTGTAAAAAAGCACCAAAAATCATGAGTGGCTGCCAAACAGTGTGTTCATGCAGTGTTGCCATTATAAAGTTACAGAAAAGTAGAAGAGGCATTCTGTAACATGACAGCAGTGACATTAGTCCCGACTCCCTGTGCATATAAACTGTATTGATTCCTCTGTTCCAGTGACACAGAGGCATGACTACAAACTAAAATAAATAATATATAGCCTCAGAAATCCACACAGTGGGGGTGAATAAGGCATGCAACTACTTAAAGTTGCTCTTAGAACATCTTCCGTTCCTGGCATTGTATCAAAGTTACACAGTTTTTGTAATAGTGATGTTTGTTTATTTTAAATTCCCTGCTTTAATGTACTGAAGAAGTAAATTACCAGCAAATTCCAGCATCAATGTATTTTGTTTGTACATTCTCAGGACTGTCTGATTTACCCTGATCAGTCTGGCTTCTTGTTTTCAGTATTCTCCATTTGCTTTGAGCATATTTATTTAAGCATGGCCTTGCTGCTAAAGGTTTTTCATGTTATATTTTTCCTTTTTGTTTTTAAGAACTTTTTCTTCCAGCTATGAAACGGTATATAAGGAAAAGTAAAACCAAAACAAACTAAGCAATATTTTAACAAATTTGTAGATAAAAAAGAAATGTTTTCTATTATACAACTGTGGAATAGATTCCTAAACTAATTTGTGGTAATGCAAGCAAGCAAAGAGCCATTACATATTTTGAGCAAGCATTCATGATGGACCTCCTAATCAAACCTTTCTCATCAAAAAAAAGGTAGGATAATTTCTCAGGCAGTGTAGCGAATTTCAGTCTGAACAGACAGAACTGAGCAGGTTAAGTGTTGTTTCCAAATGTTGATGGATTTTTTCTGTTCATTCAGATGACTCACGTATGGTTTAATCCATGAAAAGTCTCTCCCATTGTTTAACACCTGAAGGCCACCATCCTGTAATGCATTGAGTTATATACCTAACATCTGTCTGCTGTTTGCTCTCTTATCCTCTCCCAAAAGGAAAACTGCATATGTAATAGACTGTTTCTGTATTTAGGTTTTTTTGTTGTTATTATTATTATCAGAGGAGAAGGGTTGTTTTGCTTCTGCAGGAGGAGAAGGCTCATGTTTTCAGTCCCTATTCTATAAAATGTCAGAAGAGTGAGATTTGAGTTTAAAGCAGTTAACACTTCGGATGGCCAGAACAACTAGTCGCCAGCAGGAATCACTTTAACCTGCAGGCTCTCAATCCATCAGTCTAAGTACATGTGCTTTTATTGTGGCTTTCATCCCTAGACATCTGTAGAAGCAGTCAGATTCTGACCAAGAGATGTCTGGAATGTGCATCCCTGGGTTGTTTGGGAGATGCCGTGCAGACGTCTTATCCCATTCTTCCCTGATGAATACTCTTATATCACAGTCATGATCCTCAGCGGCTTTCTGTACTGGCAGAAAAAAACATCTGTTAGCTTTGCCTGAGGGGAATAAAACTTTGATCTGATATTATAATCTTAATTCAGTGGTATATTTTGTTAACCCTCTAGCATCAGCTTTCCTCTGTTGTAGTGGGGCTGTATGATACCTTAGTTCATCTGTTTGGCTTTGAAGTGAGACATCCAATGGAAAATTGGTGGATAAGAGAAGAGCATGGGCATTTCATCCTGAATTGTTAGTGTGCTCTAAAACAATACCAAATTATTATTACATGAGACATCCTTGAATGTTATTCCAGACTGAACATTGTTCAGGGACTGAACCAGTCCCTTTTGTGTTCCTGTTAACTCCATGACCCTTGGGTGAGGTTGTAGTTGAACCAGATGGGTCAAATGTAGGTTTTTTTTGTCGCTAATCTGATAAATTATAATTGAATCAGCAGCTAGAATCTGGGTTGTATTTGAATTACATTGTGGCAAGATAGTTTGGGGGAATGTTAATGCTGAATTGTCTGGACAGTTTTGTTTCTGTCTGTAAAGGAATGACTTGTTCAGCACCTGTGAGTGAGGTTCCTCACTGTTTGGCACCTTTTCTTGTGCAGATTCAATAGGTAAAAAAAGTTTTGAATCTGTCTCCATAGGAGTAAACAGCTGCAGAATGCTTTTCAGTCTACAGCAAAAATGTTTTGAAAATGTACATAGGAGATAGTCTTTGTTATGAAAGTTACCTTGAGACCTGCTTCAACATAATAATTTTCTGTTTAAGCTCTTTATTGAAAACCTCTTTTTAAAAGGCCAGTTCTTCATTGCCTAGTGATTAGCGACATCTTAAACCTAACAACAAAAGTGGTATCAGTATGTTAGTATTTTCACAGATTACAGTGTACTCTCAGAGCAGATTTTATTCAGTGTCTTTTGGACTCTGTGGGGTCTCTGTGGATCCCTCTCAAAGCTATAATCTCCTTGGTGAAGTAGAAGATGGTGCCATGGGAAGATTATACACAAAGATAAGGGATGATTTGATGACATTACCTGAGAAATCCAATAGGGACAGTAGGTAGCAATTGTACTTCCCACTTGGATATGGTTGTTCTGGGGATGATATTCTGAACCTCTGGCAGGGACAACTCTCACCACTGGCTAATGCCAGCCTAGGTCAAATATCTCCAGCTAGAACATATTCTGCTTTCAGCTTAAGATGTGAGGCATCACTGTTACGTATTCCTACTAAGTCATGGAATGAGGACCGTCTTTCTACAAATCTTTTATTTTTATTTTCTCAGCAAAATAAAAAAAAGAAGGAAAAATTTCAAAAGAGCCTCCAGATGATCACTTCCTGTGAGACTTTATACTGAATACTGCATGAATTCAGATTTTGGTTTTGTTTTACACTTGACTGACTTGCTCAGCGAAAGGACTGAGTTGCCATACCCTTGCTGACAAATTCTTTCCTCAGTGACAGAAACTCAGTGACACTCTGGCAACTCACTGTAATCTCGACTGCCTCACCAATGTCTTACTACTGTGCACATGCACTCTGAGACAGTTTTTCAAAACAGGTATAAATACTTGACACTGAGAATGCAATAATTTAGTTCTCAGAAGCTGTGAACCATGAACTTGCAAACATGAGAAATGCCACTGACAAGTGCAATTCATGCAATAAATGACTCTGACTGTACAGTAAGTTGACTAACTTCAACCCAATGAGGTCACTGGAGAGCATCCTCCTTCTTTTAACAAGTCTTTGGTCAGATCTTTGTCTTTTGCCATGATTTGAAGACACATTTGGTGACAAATACAGGATTGATACCTTCTTAGCATTCAGTGTTGGTCACATTCCTGGAGTGGGCAGCTGAGCAGTAGCAACCAATACAGAGCTGGGAATTAAATATATGGAAGGCTTTTGTGCATGTGTGTGGAGTCATTTGGAAACTTTCTTCTTAGAGTACATTTTAAAGTTATTCTGAAGAAGGAGTGAGGGCAGAGAAAAAGCAAAGCCTCAGCAAAGGAAAAGCAAAACATTGTCACTAAAGTGAAGCATTGAATCCTTCAGAGGAACCAAGGTCAGGAGCAAAGATAGCTGCTAAATGCAATTATCTGGTCTCCAGCTCTCAGAGTCACAGATTTCCTAATCAGAGACCTGCCTGTATGAGAGTGTGCAAATTGCCTAGTAACAGCTGAGACTGAACATTCAGATACAGGGTTAATTCATATACCCATCTTGGGGATTCCCTACAGTGTTTGCAGCATTAAGGTACTTGTTCTGAATCAGCTGCTCCTGAGGACTATCCATTGCCTAGAAGAAACTGAAGGAAGGGTAAGAGGACTGACCTCCAAACTTGGGCACCTAAAATTAGGTGGTACAAGTACCTTACTTCTGTTCCTTTCCCTTTTGAGATATGATTAGTTATCCCAAATGAATCCATCCTAATCTCTAAGGTTTGTTGGGTGGTGGAGGGGTGTTTGTTTACCTTTCCAATGACCTGATTAACTGATGGATGTAAAATGATTGCTTTCATTTCTAGGTGGGAAAGAGCTGTTATTGACTGGAATGGCACAGAACCAATCTTGTGACTGACCTGACCTGCACTTTACTTGTAAAGATAAAAAGGAAATGACTGAATTAGCACATTCCTATTCCCACCAATACAGGAAATAGGACTAAAGATGTGTAGCTTACGATGAGGAAGAATGACAGAGTTTGCAGGCTGGAAGAGTTTCACTTCAATCACCTCGTGCTTCAGTTATTTTGCTTATAATGTAAACAACACTTACATGAATTCCTTGTCACTGCCTTTAACATACATCTTCTGAGAGGAGATTGAGTTTCCACCACAAAATCAAGGTTACAGATGAAGCAGTGAAGTCATCAACGTCCCCTTGAGGTCTCTTTCTGGATCCACTCTGTATCCTGCAATTGTTTTAAAGCATCTGATGAAAGATGCTGAACCCAGATTTCTGTCACTGTACATGCCTTCTCTGTACTACCTAGTTCTTCACCTACAAAACTCCAGTGCAAGTATAAAATATCGTCAAAAAAATACATTTTCACTTTTTTTCCTGATACTAGTAAATCTCAGTTTGCACTGAACAGATCAGTAACCATACAAACCATGGTAACATACAAAGTTCTTGTTGTGTCATAAAATTTGCAGTAAAAATTCTGGGTTTGTGTTACCAGATTAATAACTCTAGTATGTTCCTTATACTGGGTGCTGATGTAGCTAATTTTTCTTCTGGATGAGAGATAGCTCTATCAGTATCTTTACATTCATGCCATTGTAACTACTTATACACTAAGGTTTATATACACCAAAGTGATAGATAAGATCTGTGGTCTGCTTCTTAATGATAGCAAGAAACCAGAAGAGTTGTTACGTTTGAAATTTAAATGGTGCCTATCTGTGATAGATACTGTTCATGATTAAATAAAGTGCATGTACTTAAATGATGTACAGTGGAGATGTATCATGAGGTACTGAAACAGCAGTTTGTATTCTGAAATTAATTCTTTAAATGACATATTTTGGCAACACTTTACCAACATTGGAAGAAGTTACTGAACAGAAGATTGGAAAAATGCCTTAGGAAAAAGGCAGATAAATGGTGTTTCTAGAATTATTCCTCTCTCTTGAAAGTGAATATGTCATGACAGTTTAATAAAGAGCTTTTACTTTCTGGTATTTATCACAGAACCTTCTTCCCAGTCAATATGAAAACTTCTGTAAGTCCTGATAGTCTAGTTGCTCTTTCCAAAATCAATTTCCAACAAAAATTCAATTTCCTGATGTCCTGCTGTGTGTAGTGTGGAGATACTGAACTGACTACACAAATACAAATTTGGGGAATTAGCACTTGAGCTAGATTTGGAAACTTATCTGAGTATAAGCCATAACAGAGTACAACAGAGGTTTAGATAGTCGTTGAATGAACATCTGTCTCCCCTTTTGCTTCCCATTCACATCAAAATATCTACAAGCAATAAAGCATTTCAGATTTTCAGTTAATTTTATTTAATTCAGTGTAATGTAATTTGTTTGGTTTAGAGCAGTTAAGCAAACTTCTTTAAACCTTGTGAGATTAAGATCTCCCATTCAGCCTCTGAGGCATAAGCAGCATCAGATCTGAGCTCATTCCTGACTCTACTACAGGGTTGTTATATGGTTTTTGGCAAACCCTGTCATCTGTATAAATAGGGATATGTTTGTACTGTCAGCTATAGGCAGGCTCAATACTGCCTTTAGGATACACTCATCATCCATAGTTCAAGCACTCCATTTTCCCAGAAAAAGCTTACCTCACTTGAGCATCAGTGTTTCTGGGAGTGGGAGATCCGAAACGGTCAAAGATCCCAGATCCAAAGCCTTTGTTGCTCTGGAAATTTCTATGAACTATAGTCCACACTTTGTTTCATGAAACAAGTATTGATTGATTTTCCCTCCTACCTCACAGGGCATTTGTAGTGTAAAATAAGATTTTTTTGGAGAATGCATTTGGACAGAAAATAATGTAGAGTTGAAAAATGGTTTAACAAAAAAATAATTTCTGAATTTTCCAGTCTACTTTAGACTTTACTTTAAATCACTACTTTAAAATACGTAAGTCTGGAGATAGCCTTCCACTACCTGATAGCAGAGCAGCCAAGATAAGTGTTCATCTGGAGAAGGAGGGAGCTGCCTTGTGACAGGCCAAATTTCATCTGACTAAAATATGGATGCCTACAGTTCAGATGTGTTCAGAGGAGCTGTTCTCCTCTGTTCCAAGGAGGGGAGATACCACAGTGTGATGTAACTTCTCTTTAGGATAAGAACTGTGCTCCAGACTTAGAATGGTAAGTATAAAGAGGATTGCCTCAAATGGATTTCACCCATGAAAATATAAGGATTTTTCAGGCTGTAAGAAAGAGTATAGAGTAGTGAATAGGTCTTGGAAATACATTGTGGTTTATGGGTTATTCTGGAGGGTAAATGAAGATGAGGAGAGGCCCTGAAGATCTGACCTTCTTTCTAAAACAGGATGCAAAGAACTCTGAGGCTCCTTTATCACTGGTTATGGAGAGTATTTTTGTTGAAACTTAATTTCTGTGACAACAGAATCTCAGTGGGACAGATATTTCTTACCTATTATTTGTCATTGTGTCCACGTATAATTGTTCTGCAAAGTCCATCTGTCATCTAAGATGAGCTAACTCCAGATTCACCTGTGCCCTCACTCACAAAGGCAGAAATAAAGCACTTGGACCATTTCACCAAACTGCCACCTGTGTAGGGTAATTCCACCAAGTTGGAGCACTGAGAACCTCATGATTGCTAAGCTACTTCCACCGTCCTTGCTCCTGGAGCCTAAAAGCAATATCTTCCTTCACCAGGGTTCAGTGGCAGTGTCCTTATTAGGCAAGAGACATGGATATTGAGATTTGCTAGGGCATCCTTCCATGAGGAAGAAATGTACAACCAGAACATTAGTTTAGAACTAGTTCTCAGAAAAATGGCAGAGCATTACCTCAATCACTGTCTACATCAAGAAGAAGCATATTTTTATTCAGTGTAAAGCGCCAAAAGTTATTTCCATTAAGACATTACAGGGCTTTTTGAGTCAATCATGCAAGGTAATGCAAAATGTTATATGGCAAAGCAAAAACCTTCGCACATATCTGTGTAGAATCATATCCTGTTCCATCAGCATGCATCTATTTTTTAAAATTATGTTTTCCTCTTCATTGTTTCTCATTTTCTTTTTCATTGCCCAATGAATGTGACTTCCTGAAATGAACAAAAACAGCAACCGTTTGATAATTGAGTATTAAAAGACACCAGTGATATTGGCACTTGGTCTGCATGTTGTCTTAATTTCATTCTGTTCTCTTCTGTGGCATAAAAAAATACACCCTCTGCTGAAAACTGACCCCTTAGCTAACAGCAGACATGGCATATTGTGTATGTAGATGAATATGTAAGCAGAGTGCTATTTTGGTAATGTGTCATATATGTCACCTTTGTACAAAATGTATATTTAACTTTGTCTTGTACAGAACATCCCATACAAATAAAACATTTAAAGCAATGGTAATAGTAAAACCTCAGATTTCCTCCTCCTTTAATAATTTATTTGCTAGTGGAAATTAATCTGAGAGATTAGATTATAAATGTTTCATGGGCCTCATCAGGTCAGTGGAATAACAAGAAGTTAAGCGTCTTATTCTGTGAGAGCAACCATAGTGCAGTTGGAGTGGAATAAAGGAGCCCATGCTGACCTTGGTCATGTTACCCTGGGGCAGCTACAGGTACTTAAACCAGCTACTCTGAAGCTAGTTTAAAGCATGAGGACCATGCACACTGACTCCATGCACATGCATTTACCATGTTCTGTCTAAAGCCTACCCAAGTGGTAGTGAAAAGTGCAAAGATCTCATTAACTTGTTGTTTAGTCTGATATGAGTCACCCCATCCTGATGAAAATCAGAGCAGAGGCAATCATGTTGCAGAGCTTTATTGGGAGTGTGGGCAGGATGGGTATGTGCACACGTGGAGAAGATTTCTTAGCCATCTGCAGGTGTACTCCATAGAAGAAAAAATTGATTTATTATTATAGCAGCAACCTCTTGTTAAAAACTCATCCTTGTGTGCAAAATTCAGACTTAATTGATGAACCAGCTGGTGTTCATTTTTCTATGTATCTGCCCTTATTATGCTGGTCAAATCTGTTAAATCTTTGATATATAATGACTGACTATCATGAGTTAATCTGTGCTGTCACTATGTGTTTTGTTCCCAGGTAGAGCATAAATGACAACTTGAGTCTATTTTCAAGTCTTCACTTTTCTGAGACAGATTTCTTTTTGGTTTTGTTCCTAATATATCTAATGGTCTGCTTTGAAATGACAGGAAGTGGTCACTTTAGAAATCAGAGGAAAGCTGAGAGCTTGGAAAAAAGACACAACCATAAGCCAAGTTTTTCAGAAGTGATAAGTGTCTTAGGGGCTCTAAAGATTCAGTTGCTGCAACTGAAGTACTTGAAGAGGGCACAATTTTCTGGTGGTGGTTGGGAGGTCCATTAAACCGTGAGAACCTCAAATCACTAGTTGTTTCTGAAAATGATGTTCCCAATTTTTTGAAGGAGTAAAATAGTTCTTCAGAGTGCCTTCATGACAGAGACATGATACAAAATATAAATTTACATTATTTTATAAAGTCTGTTTCATTTTCCTGTCCTGGGGTATGTTTACTATGGAGGAAACTGCCCTGAGTTATTTCACACTGACCATACATGGTATAGGGAAAGTTATTGTGGAGGATGTGATTAAAGTTAACCACACCAAAGTTTGTCTTGTAATAATTTCTCTTCAGTTCACATTTGTAGAACCATAAAACTTAAGAATCAAGCACCAAAGCCTTCATGACTGATGTGCATTATTTTATTTTTGTGTTCATCAGTAAGATCATGTACAAAACAGAGAGGTTTCTTCACGGAAAGAAAATAATTGCGCCTGCACATCCGTTTGATACAGGGCACAGTTTGCTGCATAACCTAAGGAAAAATCATCCTATTAAGAGCACTTTGTATATACTAGTACTCTTCATGTGTTTATTTTCATTGGCAAGAAGATAATAAATCCAACATTATCTCTGAAATAAGGAAGCAGTTTCTCCTTAGCAGCTTTGTTTATAAAACCAGAGAAGGAAAAAGGGCATTTTCAACCAGGTATTTTATTTGCCATTTCACCGAGGGTGGGGAGGGGTTAGTTTTGCAGTGGAAAGCAACCTATTTTTGTTATGTCCCTCATTAACAATAGTTGTTGACTATATCAACATGGAAACAAACACCAATTTTAAAAAGAAAAACCCTGTAAAGTTTGCAAAGTGACTTTTTTTAAGATTAATATTTGTCAGCAGCCCAAGATTTCAAGTTTCGTGTGCTGTGGATTTTTAAATTTTTCTTTTGCTTGAAGGAATTATGCTAAACTGAAAGAACTGACACTTCATGGAGGTTATGCTTAAAGGCACAACTCTTAGCTATTTACAAGAGTGATAGCATTGAGACTTTTGCTAGACCCTTGAACCAGAGTATAATTTCTTTGATCTCTGACACTTGGCATTTCAGACAGTGTGTGGTTTCTGTGGCACTGTACACGCTATTCACTGCATGCTTTACATAGCACATCCTTGGACTGCACGTATTAAAATGGCTTATAGCAACTCATGGATCTGTGTGCCTCAATTTTCAAAGCCCATTTAAGAAATCAGAGATCATTTATGAAAAAATAGAGAGTTGTCTGCAGACAGCCTGAGATGAGGTGGTCCTCAGAGTGCAGAGACTAGATTCAGATACTCAAAGATAGTACATCTGGAATCAGCAGTGTGACTAATACAGCTCTGAAGCTGAACTGATAAACTTATTCTTTTATGGAGGATAAGTGACTGACATGCAGCAAGGCTAATGGATTCAGATGCAACACATTTAATTTTTGCAGCTGGTCCATGCATTGCTTACTAGGACATGTTTGTAACACAATCTGTTTGCTTGATATACCAATGCCTATACAGACACTGCACAGTAGTGAGCATCCACAGTCTCAAAATAAATGTCTTTCATATGCTTGAAAGTGGTCATCCCAGGCCAAAAGCTTCCAGCATTGTCAACTAGACTTTGCAATATTTATTCTGCTTAGGTGGCTTTCTGATGAAGTTTAGTCTTATCCAAGCACAAATTACAGGCTGTTTAGAGAATGGATTGAGAGCAGAACTGAGGAGAAGTACTTGAAGGTGTTGGTTGACAAGCAGCTCAACATGAATGAGCAATGTGTACTTGCAGCCCAGAAATCCAACCAGATCCCGGGCTGCATCAAGAGAAGTGTGGCCAGCAGGTCGAGGGAGGTGATTTTCCCCCTCTACTCCACTCTCATGAGACCCCACCTGGAGTGCTGTGTCCAGCTCTGGGGCCCCCAACATCAGAAAAACAAGGACCTGCTCAAGTGGGTCCAGAGGAGGCCACGAGGGTGATCAGGGGGCTGGAGCAACGCTCCTATGAGGACAGGCTGAGAGAGTTGGGGTTGTTCAGCCTGGAGAAGAGAAGGCTCTGGGGAGCCCTATAGCAGCCTTCCAGTACTTAAAGGGGGCTACAGGAGAGATGGGGAGGGACTCTTTATCAAGATCATTTAGTGATAGGACAAGGGGTAATGGCTTTAAACTGAAAGAGGACAGATTTAGATTAGATATAAGGAAGAAGTTCTTTACTGTGAGGGTGGTGAGGCCCTGGCACAGGTTGCCCAGAGAAGCTGTGGCTGCCCCCTCCCTGGCAGTGTTCAAGGCCAGGTTGGACGGGGCTTTGAGCAACCTGGTCTGGTGGAAGGTGTCCCTGCCCATGGCAGGGGGAGTTGGGACTAGTGATCTTCAAGGTCTCTTCCAACACCACTCATTCTATGTTTCTATGGTTCTATGATCTGTCAATCTCAGTCAGGATCCACCTGATCTAGTCAGAGGTGTCTAGAGAGTAGACAGGTTTACATCTCCATGTAAATCAGTGACCCTGGACAA